CATTAGGTACGAAATGTAGATGAAGGATTGTTCTTACAAGTGGTATAGGGGAGCAAGACAGCCGGATATTTCTTAACGCACACAATAATGAAGGAAATTAAGTGAAGGTGAATATGACATGATATCAACAAACGTAAAATGGCTTGAGCACCGTTGAGATTTACTAAGCAAAGACATTAGACGCTTTAACATCTCCTTCAATGCAGATATTACTACATCTCTAGTGCCGCACTATTTTTGTGGGTTTAGCGCAGCTCGTTAGCTGGCGTAGAGGGCAACTTGGCCTTGAGGTGCCGGTGGCACATGGTAGACTCCCGTGTGTCCTATTGTCGGCGTCGAGTTCATGCCCTGTTAAGACAGGTGGCGCTCTGCGTTTGAGCCTCCCTTAGTGGTAGGAAGCGTCGGGCTTATAACCTGTTGGCTTGCCGCGTCCAGCTCGCCTTCTATCCGTCATCTGTCGTCTTATGAAACGTTGGGCTCATAAACTGTTGGAGTAGTGATTTGCGCAGATTTGTTGGGGCAGAACAGTATGGAGTGAGGACAAAAGTAGAGTGGTCTAGGCGTTCATAATGGAGAGGAAGTATTGAGTGTAGAAGGAGAAGACGCTTGTGTTGGACTTGGTAAAAGAAGAAGCTGCTTGTGTTGGACTTGGTAAAAGGAGAAGTGATGAATTATAGAGTCTGGTGTTCTGGAGGGGAGTTACTCTCCACCAACCAGTCAAGTTATATGCGATTTCTCTTTATGAAATAGCACAATTATATTCCACTAGATAGTCATCATCACATCGGAGATGCTTACTTCAACAGCCTTCCACATCGAGGAATGTGTATGATGCTCTTTCTGTCGGATAGTATTTAATGTACCACTGGTGGCTGTTTATAACAGTCCTGTACGTACAGGAGCATTTACAAGAAATAGATCTTGTGTTGATATTGATGATTTTTTTTCTTGACTTTCATTGTCAGATTTGTCATCTTGTGCCGTTTTGCTTTGGCAGGGACTGTGCTGATTTCTTGTTTTCATTGTTATTTTGGCTACTCAGGAAACCCTTAGAGGATTAAACCTGTTCACCGTAGTGATTGTTGTTATTATCGTTTTAGTTATACGAATTTGTAGCAGCTACTTCAGGGAAGCCTTTAATTTTAAGGATTAAAACCTGTTCGCTGAATTGTTGCTGGTATCGTTTTAGTTATTCGAATTTGTAGAAGCTACCGCAGGAAAACCTTTAATTTTAAGGAACAAAACATGTTCGCTCTGTTGTTGTTATCGTTTTAGTTATAAGAATTTATAGAAGCTACCTCAGGAAAACCTTTAGTTTGAATGATCAAAACATGTTCGCTCTGTTGTTGTCTACTCAGGAAACCTTTGAGAATACACCTGTTCACCGTATTTATCTTTATATATTTTGTGTAAGCGTTTTAGCTTTGTTCATTTCTTAGACTGCCATTGTTTTGCTCTTTCATATAAGGATATTTCTTCACAATGTGTGGTTTCGTTTTTGTTTTTCTTTTCGTTGATAAGGTCTTATAGAATTGCCTCCCAATTGCATGAAATGGTTGATATAGGTGTTGCAGTCATTTTCAAATTGTTCTGACTATTGTTATTGAGAGTTTATAGTTTTCAAATATTTTTGAAGAAAGGCTACAGCATTTAAAAAACATAAATAACACCAAACAGTGTCATCGGTAGGGTACGCATGATATTTGCAGTAAGTGCGCAGGCTCTCGTCGTTGGGGTTATTTTTCTCCCTAGAGGCTCATCGAGTTGTTTCTCGTTTGGAAGTTTATAATTTTATTTTTACTTCGCAAGCGCTAGCGATAGATTTGCAAACTGTCGAACTCATTGTACAGTAGATGGAATTGATGCAGTAAAACTATAGTTTGCTTTCTGTAGACAGAGGCTTTTGTAGGCTTGTCTTGTAGTCATAAAGTGCTGAGTAGTTTTTTTATTCATTCTTTTGGTACTGTTAGGGAAATGTTCGAAACTTTTGCCAGTGACAATATATGTTAAAGTTTGGCGAATGCATGAATAGTTTTTGGCATTGATGCCTCCCAGTTTCATACATTTCTTTAAGTATTTCTCTCAACGTTTGGGGTATTTCTTTTTTGTCGTACAAGCTAGGCAGCCTTGGTGAAATTTGCAATTTTGTAATTGCATCATGCAAATTGCATGTTTGATTTTGTTCATTATATTTATTTTGTGAATGTAGTATAAATATGTTTTGAGCAGCTAGGTAACAATGCTTGCACCAAAGCGATATTCTCAGTAGGAGCACATTTCGCTCACATTTTACCTAGCTCAAATCTTTGGGGCATTTTTCTCCCTAGTGGCTCTTCGGATTGTATTCCGGATTTTATTATAAGTCTTTAGTCATACGAAAAACGGAAATGCTACATATTACAAAGACAACAGTAAATAGTTCGCCATGATGTCAGATAAATATAATTGTGAGTTTACGTTTATAGGAGCTAGGAGTAGAGCGATTGCTTGTAGAAACCGGTAGCTCGCTGGATGCAGCAGGAATACTTGTTGTCTCACAAGTCCTATCTGGAATAGAGATAGTACTACCAAAACTCTCAGAAACAGTTGAGCCAGCAGAGTGTTTTTCTCCCTGCTCATCTCGCTGCTGGTCTTCGAAGTTATTGTTTTCCGCTGTACCACGGATCATTTCCGGCATCTCCACATCATCGAAAGCGTCCTCGTCCCCACTGGGGCCCTCCTCGTAGCTGTCTTCTTGAGGACGGGGGTCCTCACTCGCAGGTATTGCGTTGTGATCAAGGTATTGTCGCGAGAAATCATGTGCCGCTGTCTCTAGTTGTGATTGTCGCTGAAAAAATTCCACCGCTGATAACTGCGATAACGTGTTCAACACATGCTCTAATGTCACCAATGCGTAGCGGTACTTTTCGTTAGATGACAGGACAACCATATCAACCTCTTCCCCACGACGGAGTCTTACGTAGCTTACCCTCCTCGGAGACGGTCGTGATAAAGGTGTTATGTAAGTTAAAGGCAATTGATCCCGTAAAGGTGCCGAAGCCAAAGGCGCCGAAGCGTTAACACTCGCACAAAAAAAGTGGCAACCTGACGAAATCCAGAATTCTTGAAAGTGTAGCAAAGCCTTCATGTAAACTTGACCTCATTTCACGAGCGGCTCGCATGCACCATAGTAGGTATACTCTGTAGCATCAATCCATCACGTACAATCAGGAGATGCCGGCACGGCAAATGCGTACTTCTGTGAAAATTACACGAACAACTCCATTTCTCCACGTCACAATTATACCGCCGACAATTTGTGTACACTTCCCGCTCGTACTTGCTACCGAATTAAATACAACCAGCATTTTTCATATCGCTGTGCAGAACATCCCACTCATTCCGTAGTAATTGGTAGGCGTAGTCGCTCATTCGGGAAGCAATTGGCTGCAGGAATTCCGACACACTGTTTCCCGACGCGAGGTGGATCCGTGTTTGCTGAGTACGTAGCTAAGATTACGAAAAACAGCACGTTGATGCCCAAGCAAACCCGCTACAGCTTTGTCTTGTCGTGGCCGATCTCGGAGCAGTTTTTTTTTACCTGGTGCCAGTCGGCCTCGATACGATTCGTCGTAAAACTTCCAGCCGAAACGTATCTGTCTCGTGCAAAACTAGCCCACATGTCTGTACACGATTTCCAATTCTTGTCGAAATAGGTCACTACACCAGGTGCATTCTTGTCGCAGTAGTCTCTGAATGCTTCGTAGCACTCGTCAAATGTGGACTCGGAGTTACTACAAAAAACATGAAACAAACGTAAGGAACTGCATAGAAGCAAGGATAGCACAAGTTTTAAATTTGTACCTGTGCAGCATTCGCGCGAACATTGATTCTAAATCATCTCGCTGCACAACGGTAAGGCTAAACGGTGGTCCACTTGAATGATTCGTCTTTGAGCGGCGCGCAAGCAGTTTCCTCCAAAGCGTTATAGTGTGGTACTTACAAAGCAGTACCTTTGCGTTCGGCAAACACGTTTCAATAACTCGCCACTCCATGAAATCCTTGTCTATAACGAACGACTTGATTTCCTTCCAACGCGGATTCTTAGACTTAAAGAACGCACAAATATTTTCCTTGGTAATAGCCTTCTCTTCCAGCGACAGGAAGTCAATCACAGGCACACCACGGTCTGATGATGTCGTTACGATGAGACTATCCAAATGAAGTTGCCCCAGATACATCATTATTAAAGGCAACATTTCCAATTAAGATACTAATACATACCTAAGTGGTAGCCAAGGTTGCTGGTACCATGTGTCCAATCCATCACTAGGCAGTCTCCCCATAGCTCACAGCTTTTCTTCTGCTGTTTCGTCTGAAACACGATGGCCGTCGTGATATCCAATTGGTCCTAAAAAAAATTACATCGCTGCCTTCCTCTTGTGCGACCGCATTCATAAGTATTTTCAGTTTTTCCTGTGCATCCGCCTTCCCTTCCAAACGATGCGTAATATTTCTGGCTTGCTGTGAAGTCACAGACCTCCCTGCCATCAACATAACATAATAAAACACCTAACGTTAAATCAAATAGAGAATAACACCCCGTGCCATTTGACTTTACCTAGTTTGTCCGTCAAGAAGGAAGTGATGCATCTAGGTTCTGCGCGGGCGTGAACCATATCTGTTAACGTGTTCAGTACTTCATGATGATCATCGGCAGAGGCAGCTCCCAAATAGGAGCTGGCAATGTCCCTATTAACCTCGTGGTTGTGTGTTCGAGTCTAGGAATGCAACAGGTAAGTCAGCAAACATTGATAACTGAATATACACAGTTATACAGTAGTTACAATACTTCGTTCTTGATGACAATTTTTCAACCGTTAGAAGGGTTCTCTACGCTTGCAGTAAATCTCGCAGGACACCCTTGAAAGCGATCAACTTTTTGCCGCTTCCCATTACCCCGCGGCTTCGAGTAGCAGCCGTGGGTACACCTGTAAAATCTGAACATCCACTTGAACTTGCTAGGCATTCACTTCAGCAGTTCTTCAAATAATATTGAGTTAATATTAGTATAACACTGCCTTTAAATGGAAAGAAACAGTGCCTTTACGTATATATGTCGTGTAATAAAACAACACTTACTTGCTGTAAGTCTCGGTCAAGCGTGAGTCGCGCCAGCGATGCCGAAGATGATTATCCTCCGTGTAGATTTTGGTAGCTTCTAAAACTGAATCCCAGTCGTTGATCTCCCGTAAGGGGAAAGACGGCAGTAAATTCGATACATGCTCGACAGGTCTAATAATGCCGATTCGCTGGTCACACGTTTCGCTGCGTCTCCAACGTGGAACGCGGTCAATGGAAACCAGTTCTGCCACAGATGACCCTTCACCACAGGAGTCCGCTCCTGTTCGATTTCGAACTACAACAACTGCATCTGTAAAAGCATTAGTAGCTAAATTAAAAAAAAAAGTGAAAACTTGCATGTACCAGGTCTTGTGTCGGGAAGTACATTTGCAGCTTCTTGATCATTATCTCTAGACCGCTTGCGCTGGGATAGCGGATTGGAATTGCGGTCCAAGCCTAATCAAAAGGTATTTCGTTTGTTAAATAAAAGGATTATAACTATAAATACTGAATTTACCGTCCATTCGACTTCCAGATCGTCAGCAACGTCGCCGTCCTTATCCTCGCTGTTTCCATCTTCTTCCGGTTCATAGTCGGAGTCGGAATTACGTTCGTGTACATGCAGTACAATCCCGCTAGCGTTCGATTTGACAGCGCGGACTCCGCGGGGGTGAGGGGCACGGGCTACTTCACGTAGCTCGTCTTCCTCGGAGGCGAGGCAGGCTGCGAGTCCCGTGGCACTGTCTGCATTGGCAAGGTCCGCGTTGTTTTCATCGTCCGCCATTTCGTATTTTACCACTGCAAGCTCTATCAGCCGGTCGATTGGTTTGTTATAATTCTGGTCGTTTTTAAAGGGCGAAAAACGCGGTTAGATTGAGGCGTTGATTATGTGTTCTACACGACACGATCTGGCGTTATTTTAAAGATGCAGGAACTAGTTTGGATCTCTGAGAACCACTCATATGCAGGTTGACGCCTGACCGGCTATATCGTTTTTCTTTTAAACAATCAGAGAGCGACGTTACAGCACGCGTGTGTTTTGTACCTACTAGGGAGCCGTCTATTCTGTTTTCGCTACAGTCACATAAACGCTTGATCATCATCTTCATCGGTATACAGTCGTGCACCTCGTATTCGGCGGGGTGGACCATATAGAGTCTACGAGCTGCGAATATTTATAGAGGAGCAGATGGAATCCAAATGTACTACTTTGTATTACCTTAATTAAGTACAAATCTCAAATCCATCTTCGACACAATACCAGTGTGATTCCAACAGTTTCGTATGGTCATTGTCGATACGTCTTGCCAACCTTCTGAGCACCACTTCATCGCTGTATAAATATTGACGGGGGTATACGTCTCGCCTTGTAAAACAGAGACAGTGTCCATGATGGCTCTGTGGCTGCCTTCCTGCACAATGTTTGCTTATTGGCGAGATTCAACGTAGAATAGGCGGACGGGCGACGTGCCATGGCCTTTTGCGACAAAATTTATAATGAGCTGTTGTATGGTGAAGTGATTGAGCTGATACATCGTGGCGGAAGTGCGGCGTTTCATCCCTCCTTGAGGTTATTTGGTCCAAAGGAGATGGGCAACTCATTTGCGCAATGCATGTGGCCCAATCATTAGATTGTGCAGGTTATTAAGCCATACCGGGGCCGAAAACGAGGTGCACGACTGTAGCTTCATCCAAATCTACGAGGAAATGTCATAATACAGTACATATGTACTGGGTTAATCCCAATCCTTAAAATTATTACTATACAAAGTGGATACACACAATGCACAATAACTTTAGCTCATAAGTTCGCATTCGAAACCCAGAGCACTGCTAAGTGGGGTACGCATGCGAGTAAATGAAAGGTGCTGATTCGATTGTAAGAAAACAAGAATTTCCCATAACTGCGTTTTTCTTTTATAAATTACATTTTATAGCACAAAATTGGACAATGTTTCTCCTTTTGGGCACGCTCATATTTAAAAATTAATAAATTCTAATCCAGTGGTCCTCTTGGCAGATACACTAACAAGCTGCAGCCGAAATGTGTGCAGTGTGGTTTTGGAACGTAGCATAAGTACATCACAGTACACATATATTATGTGAAGCTTCGCTCTAAGTAGAAACTCTAAGCCCCCGCAGCGCAGCGAAATACGTGAAAGCGTAAAGCTTAAGGAGGATATACATCTCTACAAAAGCATCGTTAATTGAAAAATTGCTAAACCGTCGGTGAATTTGCGAGGGTGACTGATTTTAAGGTTTACCTTATCCAATGAATTGACTGTCACGAGTTCAGCCCGTAAACTCGCCTGGAAGCTGAAGGTGGATTTCGAGAAGGGGACTATCGACTTCGTCTGGCTGTATCAGTCTACAAGAGGACGAAAGTGCCCATCGCAAAAGAAGAAAGCTCCTAGCCGGCGTAGCGCGCGGATTAACAGCCTTCACCCGTAGAAAGTGAATCTTAAGTTCGCAGCGCACTTAGTATGTACTGCTAACAGTACATTGTTTTTACAGACCTGATGAACAAAGTCAGTACATATGTACTGTATTAATAAAATTTCTCCTGAATCTACTTGAATCAGGTAAGTTATATCGGTCGTTTCCACATCCTCGACGTTCGCTAGTCGCGGTCTTCCTCTAATCGGGGTCGTGAGTATCTTGGGCCGACGTAGGAGGTGGTAGTATTAGCAACACTACTGGGATAGTACTGAAAAAGTTGATATATTCTTGTGTTGTTTGTTCGAAGGAAATCCACGACTGACCTCCTCATTTCACCTCGCTAACAGTTTTCAGAGCTTCTTACCTTTCACCAGATCTCTCGTGTGTGGCGGTCCAGCTCCAATTCCCGCCACGACCAGCAGCTTCATGGCCGCACCCTTGGAACGTCTCCGTCTTGGCCGCAGGTCTCGCTTGCTTGGACGTAGTCCGAATAGTCTGGAGCGAGTAGACCTTCTGCAGGCAGTCAGCCAGCATCGTTAATCCACCATCTAACTGTACACCGTGACAATCTCCGTCTGACACTCAGTGACCTCGCCGAGCCACATCGCCCGGAGCCTGTCGCACGGTGTCTTCCACAGTCAGATCTGGAACGTTCCCACGTGACGTTCCACTTGTATTCGGATTCTCGTTCCTTACTCCAGACGACGTTCCTTCGGCCTGCGTACATCGCAGTCGCTCCACACTAGCTCGATCTCTTTACTCCCGACGCCCGATGCGACCAGCCAGGCCTTCCCACTTACGTCCCGCGGCCCTGTCATTCCGGTCCACAGCACTCGGCTTGAGCCGTTCGTAATAGTGCATCACGTAGCTATAGCAGCCGACCACTAACACAGCCAAATTCCAGTAACAACAGCCAATTTTAAACTCCAGGTAGACGTCCACGACCAACACAACCAGCGTCACTCCCATCCAGCCACACAGCACTACTTCGACACTCTCGTACACCAGGCGGGGCAAGTAGATTAGGATTGACAGTGGTAGTGACGTCAGCAAGTAGCTCCCAACGATAAAGTCCCCAATTCTGTCCACAGCCGCTACCACATCTTCGCTCGTGGCTCGCGCGTATCGGCAGGACGTACTCCATAGCAAGAGACTCGCATCTGGAACGTGCAGGCAGCACGAATGGTGGAACGCTTCACACCACTTAAGGCACATACGACCTGTAATCCCAAATCGGGACTCGTAGTCCTGTAGCACAGCGATAGGAACCAAGAACAGTAGCTTCACTAGCGCGCACGCGTACTCCGGAGGTGGCACAGCTGCGGCATAAGCATTTCGAGCCGCCACAAGGTAGCGATTACAGCACGTGTTCCAGAAAACGTAGATGACACGCACGTTCTCGATCGTCCCGTCGAGGAACGCCCACGACAGGTTCCGAAGAGGAGTCGTAGCAATCCAGATTACGATCCCCATCACAGCGCTGCCGACGACCCTCATCTCGTCCGTCACTTCGAGCTCCATCGACCAGTTCCGCCCATTTCGCAAACACTTTTTTAACATCGCCATCAATCGTCGAGTGACATCGTCACAGCCGCAGCTCCTCCAGACAGTTAGCCGTTAAGACGGTTCCTGAACCGACACCTTGTCCGCCCAAGTCACCAAGCATCATTGCGTTCCTCTACCAACGCCGCGTCCCAGCTGTCGAACCTTTCCCGCGTTCCCCTTGGCAGCCATCAAGTAAAACGTCTCGAGTCCTTTCAGCTTTTGAGTTTCGCTCATTTTGCATTCCGTTCCCGCCATGCCCACGCGACTTTCCACCGCCGAGCTGAGGTGCTTCCGGGCGTTTCTCAACGCCGCCCTCGACCATGAGGAGCAAGGCACCCCTGGGGACACTGCGCGAGCTTTGTTTTTTACCGAGCTGCGCGCGCGTCTGGGCGCTAACAGCATGTCGTCGGGTCTTCCGTTCTTGGACCCGCTCACCGGGGACATCCTGAATGGCCGGTCTGGCGCTTCGCTTCAAGGAACCGTCGTGGCCCTCCCCGCGCCGCCAGACTCCGCTCCCTCTTCAGGCCCCGCTTCAGTGTCGACAACTTCGTCTAGCAAGCAGTCCAAGTCGCCCTCAAAGAAGCCGTTCAAGTCGCCCAAGTCACTAGCGCGTGGTAAGTGCAAGGTCAGCTGTGACGACCCCGCTCCTAAAGCGTCTGCGAAGAAGGCTTGCGTCGTCAGTAAGCCCAAGAAGCCACATATCCCGTCCAACGAGTTTGGACATCCCCTCGACGTGAGTGAAGCGGCTCCAGCTCCAGTTCGCCGTGTCATCGCCGCCGTCTTGGCCAAGGCAGATGCTCTGGGTACGAAGCCATGGCGTCTTGCGTTCCCTTGGACTGGACATTCCATATGATACGATCCCATCAAGTTATGGCACGTGTATCGCGCCCACTGGCGCTTCTGGATGACGCACCGTCGAGCTTTCTGGGAGTGGGCTCTCCACGCTCCTCTGGTCACCGCAACCGCCATGACTCAGCGTCGGAAGCTGAAGATGCGCGCCGTCCAAGCTCGCTGGGTTTTCACAAGTCTGTGCATTGAGACGGTTTTTTTTGCTTTCCTCAACATGCTAAAGAAGCGCCCCGGGATGTACTGACTCGAAGACCAGCCCGGCAGAGCCACACGCGACGATCGTTCCTACGCTGGACCCATCGCTGAGGACTTAGCGTCTTTGAAACAGAAGGATAAGGGACGATACGAGACGCGCTCAATCCAGCCGCTGACGAGAAGAGTCGGCTCTCCCTCTCTTATCTGGCTCGGGTTCGACGCGACGTCATGCCCTGTACGAGGCCAAGCACCACTTGGACAGGCGACAGGAACAAGGAACCGTGGTTGTCGCTCGTTAATAGTCACACTGTCAAGTTGGCACAGGACGACATGATGGCGCAGCTCGTCGCAAGAACGTCCAAGGTCCCTACCGCTCGTCCTCCGTCCAGTACGGAACGCCACCGTGATGTTCGAAGACAAAGGTGAAGACGAAGAGAAGGAAGCCGCAGTCGAAGGCGACGACGCTTCTGGTAACGACGACGAGGCGTCAGAAATCGATGACGACGAAGATGAGCAGGAAGAGGAGGAATTCGTCGAGCACGAGGACGGCGACGAGGAAAGCGACAAGGACGAAGATGAGGACGACCAGAAGAAAGCCGCCAAGTAGCTCCGAGACCCTTCCGTCTTTGTGTTGTAGCCGTTCGCAGCTCTCGTTCCTTTTGTTTTTTAACCGTAACCTTCCGTCGCTTCTCGTCGTCTTGTCTTGTCCCTTTTCCGTCGGTTCCTCATTTCTATCGCCAACGAATCCTCCTTAAA